TAGAGAAAGTCGCGCTGCTTGCAGATATCAATGTCTTAGCTGTTCTCATTAATATTTGGGAAAAATCAAATCTCACGTTATTTCGTTATAGGTTTTCTTTGCTTCTAGACACCACTTTTGTGAGATCAGCATTTTTGAACGAGAAATTTTTATACGATTCGAGTTCAAAGAACCATCTTTCATCATAAATACGAGTCACTCTTTTTCGTATCTCAACTAGCAGTGCCCAAAATCGAATGACAAGAATGCTTCGCCCGACGAGCAGCAGTCTAGGTCTGACATCGGTCCGACCATCACAGGAGAATCCATTTCGTGTTGACTTTTGTTCGAATAGAGAGCTGTGGCTGCTGATTGTTCAGAGAAAAAGAAAAACGAAGCAGCGAAAAACGTTAAAATAGTTAAAGAAAATGATGCAATTGATGTGATAGTTAATGAGACAAGGACTGCAGAATTCGTGCACCACCCATTCAAACTGATATCGGTACCCCTAAGGGAAAAACCGTACCAGTTACATCCACGTGACACGCAAATCTTCAGCTACGAACTTTTTTTGAGAGTCATTTAGAATGAAACAAGTGTGAGCTTTGAATGAGTGACAAAAAATAAAATTTCGGAATCTGTTTTTGCTCTCCGCCAGCTATACTATTTTCTGCCTCGATATCTCGTACATCGTTTCTGAATAGGAGAAAATGTAAAAAAATACGTTGAATCAATATGCTCTTTCTATATATAACGAATGAATCAAAAGTTTCTAGACAAAATGTTTGCTCATTTTTGACCCACTTGCAAGTGTTTCAGATGAATAAAAAACTATGGGTGAGGAACAGAAGTTTATGCTCTTTCAGAATATAGGCTCGAAAATTATTTGTCGATTATTTTCTCGAGAGTAGTGAGTGAATCTTTGACAGACCTAAAAATTTAGTTTGTAGCAAAGAAATGTACATATGTTTTTGTATTTCGACTACTGGCATCCGAAACTAAAAGTTGGAACCTTTAGTAATATATCAGCTTGTAGAGCAAAATCTACGCTACAAAATGTACTGTTTTAGAGTTTCCTTTTGTCTTTCGACAAGGCACCTTACTTTTCGTTGTTCATACACTCTCATTGTTGAAAATTCGACTTTTTGACGCAGAAAATGATCTGAGTGATTTATTGAGTTTTTAGGCTCTTGTTAACCGATCTCGCGAGTGATTCTACTCTACCAAATGTTGATCAAAATGACATAAATTTTATGCCAAAATGTTCGCCAGACCACGCGCTTTCACCCCGTATATAATTCGACCTGATTGCAAGTAAAAACGTCTAAGGGGCCAAATCAGTTTCTTATGCGCCCGCGTCCTTTACCATTCCCACCAAGGAAACAACGGCAGATTTTGGAATTTCCGTAATATGGGGGTTTGCTCCATATTATCCCCGATTTTCCCAATTATTTCGCAATCCCTGGTATTGCATAGTGTCTCAAGTGACATCGTGGAGTGGTACTGCTATGATTTTATGGATGTTTCTGAATTTTTCGATTTTCCTGATTTTTTCGACTAACCCCAATTTGGACAGTTTTTGACGGATTTATTGAGATTTCACCAGATTTTGATCGATGTTTTCTGAATTTTATTGCAGTTCCTAGACTTCCTCTGTTTCTCTGCCTTCTCTAGAGCTTCACAGGATTTTCCCGGAAGCCTTATACATAGAATTCCAAAAACAGCCGTGAGGTTTTCGTTACGCCTTGGTAGAAAGGGGAAATTTGTGTACAAAAGTGAATAGTGATAGTTTTGAGCAGTGTTGGTAAACTTTTTCTTTATGAATAAAAACTTGGAACTGTCCTCTACCATCAAAAAAATATTAGCTCATTTGATGAAAGCACGGTGCAGATATTCAAATTTTTTCTTGGTGGATGACTTTCCGAACACCCTGTATTTTCCATTTATTTCAGAATTCTTCAAGTTCTTTCGAAACTCAATACTTTTCGATTCTCTACCAATTCGAGTTCCTTCCGCCAACGGTGCAACTTGGCTGCCCAAGAAACGTTTCATGCGTAGATGTATTGAAAGGTTTATCAACTACCTTCTAGTTATTCACACACTTTGTCTCTGATTATAATGATGAAATTTAAGTGGGAAAACTTGAAGATGTGGGTGTGGGTGTGGGTGGGTGTTTGGTGTGGCGGGTGTGGGATGTGAGTGGGTCTGGGTGTTGGTAAGGCATTTGTCTTAACACCCATATACCGACACCCACACCCACCCTATAGAGGACACATCTGATGAAGTCAAAGTTAACTAATTAAATATATCTTTTCGAGTTCTACATCAACTGATCTCTCCATAGCTCGTGAAAAGTGCTCGATAGCCTGTTAATTTTAGATCAGTCAGTTCTTGCCAGAAAACTTCACAAATAGTTCAGCTTTTGTCGCGACAACTGCTGAAAAAGATAATTTTGTAAATGATACCTATTCGAACAGATTAGTTCGCTTCAAAAAAGACTTCAAACAATTTTCTTAGATCGAAACTGTTATCGATCTTTCCCATATATCATTTTTATCTATCCAGACACAAATCGTTTACTAAATCTATTAGAATTATTTTTTTGGAGTGCTCATGTGTACATGACTTATAAAAACAAGGAACCAAGTGTAAAAATTTCTTTAATAATTTTTTTAATGATTTCGTATGAATGAGTCGATTGATTTATATTAGTAACAAATCAAAAACTTCGTCAAAGGTAATCATTCTCAATAAAACAGCTTTTATGCTGTGCCAAAAAAGTCTTAATCATTTTAATAGTTAAACAATTCTTTTGAAAATGAACACAATTGTCTTTTAACTCTTTATTAAGATTCTCCTAACAAAATCCGATACTTTCTCAATTCACGTCTTGTTCTTGATGATTAGTGAGTTTCTTATCTGCTATAGTAATAAAAATTTCTAAGGGTATGATATTCTGAAAATTATTGTTAATCGAGGGTATCCAGTTTAGTATATCAATGAATAATATTCAACGCTGATTTTTGTCGAAATAGAAAACTTGTTGAAGTGAAATAGGAGATTTCTTTTTCTTTAGAGACATACACTCATACCTTTTAGTTAGTCTTGGTCTTGATATAGATTAATGTCTGTCTCGACTATATTTATACTCGAACTCGCTCGTTCTTTGTCAGAGACCAGCGTATTATCAGCTTTAATCTTAACATCTGAAGCTCGATGTCGGTCTTCGAGAGCTTTTCTTTGCTCTAATTTTCCACAGAACTAGGTATATGTTGAGACCGAAGACTTGCTGTCAGAGATGAATATTTTTCTCTGCAAAAAATGTATGAGTTTCTATGAGAGTTTTATGGTAAGCTATTCAACTTAGCTTAATCTAACTGTGTGTGAAGCCGACCGGGTCGATCAGAGCGACAAATATTCAATTCTCGTTCAGTCTCGGTACATCTTTCATTGTTGATTATTCTTTATCTACCCATGGAACGGACGTTTCATAAACTCCACAGTAACTATTTCCGGTTTCGAAATTGTATCACATACTGCTTACCTATAGCTGAGTTTGTGCTGAAATTTTCGTAACTACAGCTACTTGAAAAATGAAGATTCGTTCCATTCTATATCTCAAGATCAGTCGTTCTCAGAAATCACAAAGGTACAGTCGATAAAACTCTTCTTTGTAGCATAAGTCGGCCATCATTAAGACTATTCATTGCATTAAAATTATCAACCTGATTTCTTCGAACCGAAGAAAACTAGTCTATCTTTGTACACCACTAAATCTCGCTTAGAATTGAATAGAATTAAACACGAAGAAACAGTGATGTGCAAAGGTTATACCGGTTTTCTTTGGTTTGATGGGATTAGAATGATATTTTTAGTGCAATAAATAGTTCTGATAATATTTGATTTATGCTACAAAAGAAAGTTTGATCGACTGTGTCTGAATGATTTCCCAGAGCTAACGGTCATGCGGTACAGAGTGGTACACATCTTCATTTCCCAGATAGCAACATTTCCGAAACTTTGATTGCAAACTTAGGCATAGATGATCAGCAGTCTGTGATACAATTGTCACAATGTCACTGAAAATAACACCAACAAATTGACCGTCGACGAAATCAATATTGACTTTGATGCCATAAGTTGTTTGATTCGAGTTGGAATATAAATGAGACTTTAAGTGCTTTAATAGCATTTCGAAAATAAATTTGACACTAGTAAAAGCAGAAAGCAAAGCGATTATTATCTCAATGGTAAACGATACGTCAGAAAAGAATTTCAAATATGAAGACGAACCCAAGGAATCAAAAATAAATTCTGATACATTTCAGTGTGGATTTATTCGACTGTATCAAACTTCATTTAAAGCTATTAGAATTCATGAAAAATTATTAAAGTCTAATGAAATCAAGTGACGAAAGTGTTAAGTCGTATTTTCTTTCTCTTTGGAAGGAAGATCGTAGCTATTCGACTGGAAAAAAAAACAGGTTTCATTTTATTGGTTAATTTTCTCAAACTTGTGATAACTAGTATTGAGTACATCATCAACAAGTTCAATCTAGCATTGTAAAATTTTGAAAAAACATATAACTGTAGAACAATACTATAAAAGCGAACATAATCTCTGTAAATTAATTGAAAGATTTCAACTAATATCTATAAAATAGTAGGTTTTCAAAAGTTGAAGTATACTTAGTTTATGAACTGTCCATCGTTAAACACCTCTCAAAACAGTTTCGTCAATAAATTTCATTTTATTGAACGATTCCTAACTATACTGCTATGTTTGATATAATTATTTCTTCTAAAATTTCGTATTGCTTTTCTCATTAGTTGATAATCAATAAGCAGAAAAACATTATTCAGTAAACATGTTTTACTACCGAATAAAAATTGTTTAACATAATCAATATGAACAGCAGTAAGATCAAGTTCAGTAAGATAGGGATATTGAATGATCGATAAATTTTCATTGGCATTGTTTGGTGTTCGAAATAATTTATTATTTTGTCGTTTTCGATTGACTATAGTTCATTCTTTAACATTGGAAATGATTGAGAAGTACGAAGAAAAAATTCATGTTCAAATGATCGTTCATCAAATAATAATATCTTACGAACACATTTAAATATTCCACCTGGAAAATTATTTGCTTTAGTACCATAATGTTCTAATTCATATAGATATGAATAAATGTGACATTGACCTATTTGTGCTTTTGGAAAATGATCGACACAAGACATAATATTATTATATTTAAAATTTTTGAATGCCTTTATTTGATAATTAAAATGAATAAATATTAAATGCAAATGTATTTAAACTTGGCATATAATTAATTATATTTAGTTTTACTTCATTACCATCAAGAAATGTTTCTCTTCCATAAACAAAAAGATATAAATAAAGTTTCTCTAAATTTTGATATTCGATGTAAAAATGATAAAATTAATTCATCATAATCATATGTATCACTATCACAAGAAAGCGAAAAACATTTTAATTTAGGTAATTTTTTCTAGGAAAAACAAAGAAGAAACAAGATTATTAATTTTCTTTTTAAAATAAATTTCATATTAAAAAATAATCTACTGTATTAATAATTATTAGATTTGAATATTGAATTCGTGAAATAGTAACATAAAGTGTATAAAGCTGATCAAAACATTCATCACATAGATAAAGACAATCAGTAAAATATTCTAAATTTGCGAATGTAGTCAAAATACATGTAAATATAATTGAAATCATATCTTCTGATACATTTTATTCTTCATTTGTATTAATATCAATAATAAGTGATAATATTTGGTTTTTGAAGGTACGACTGAAACGACTTTCATCTACAATAATGAGAAGATTTGAAAAACATTATTAAGAATAATATTTCATAAAATTCTATACTGTTTTTACTTGCATCTTAGTATGCAGACTCTGTTCCTATTTTTTTTCTATTCGACGGTAATTTACATATATGATCATCATAAATCTTAATTATTTATTTTATTCTAGTTTTTCTTTGTTAAAAGATTTAATTTATCTATGATTGGCAAAATCAAAGTAGTAAAAACAACTTACCAGTAAAAATATGTATAAGTGTTTCTTCATGAATATTATACAAATCAAGTGCAGTTAACTTAGGTATTTTATAGTAAGAAAAATGAGTTCCACTGAAGATGATTTAAGATTAAGCCATTGAATTTTATGATGAATTTTAGATAAGATTTTTAAACAAAACTGATGAAATATTGGATCAGATAGTGGATAAATATAACCATTGAACATCGATACCATTAAAGATAAATTATTGGGTACGGGTGTAGATGTGGATGTGGGTGCGAGATATGAATCTTTCGTCCATTCACATCGACATCCAGTCTTGTTGCAACACCTTATTTTAAATAAATGTGTAGTTTTCAAACCTATCTTGATTGGTAGCTTGAGAGACAAAGAAAACAAAATAGTTCGGTTAGGTTCAAAGTCCAAAATGTGGAAGATTGTGGTCAGTTTTCACTACATTTTATATATTGTTTTACGATTTAAACGCAAACGAAAATATGTTAGGGCTTCTAATTTGCATCGTACTGGTTTTCTTCTCTTGAATAGGACATAAATTATGCATACGACGTGATAGGTATCGTTATTGGTTTTTGTTCTTGTCTTTGGCATATCCCATATATGAAGACTCTTTGGGAATTTCGTTCTGAGTATAATAATCGTCGAAATACTCTTAGTGTTTTACATGTTATTCCGAATTTTTTGTCTGAAACTGGAACTAAATTTACTTTCAATGCATCATATGTACAAGAATAATTGTATTACAAACTTTACACTTAGGAGAAGAGGAAAAAGAAAAGAAATTCTATATATACGAGATGTTTTTAGATTTTGAATACTAATATAAAAACACTGATGGGCAAGTGGTTTTTCTTTTCGATGAAAATATATTATGGATTTATTTTCATTTGAAATGTTTTTCTATCATTTATGTAAGAGATGAAAACGACCGACAAAGCTGATTAAGCAAAGCTAAAACAGAACTATTACGATATTTTCGTTCTTGTCTTCAAAACGTGTCATCTAACTTTTTGCTCTTTTCGTTTGTCACTATCAGACAATAAATAGAAATCAATTTTGACTATCCACAAGTTTAGTCAGCTCAGCTGACTAAACTTGTGGGTGTGGGGTGTGGCTGTGGCTGTGGGTGTGGATGGGTGTGTGGCTGTGGCTCACAGTGGGGAGCCAAGCGGACATATGCGAAAATATTCTTCTCCAGAATCTAACTGTTCGCGTAGATACATACATATGTGATCTATTATTTCCTAAAATAGCGGTTCTCAAAGTTTTATAGAGCCCAAGAAAAAAGCCTGTCAAGGCTTGGGCCCAGAAATCAGCATAAATCAAGAAACTCAAGCCGCAGAGCCCTATAGCACAATATTCCAGAAGCAAACAATATCGCAAAAAACTTCCTCATCTATGCACTTTATGGTGAAAAAAAATTATCGTAATCCAATTTACAATAGAGTAGAAAACTAGGAATTTCTATGTAGAAATCCTACCCGAAAACCTACCGTTCCGTATGTTAAAAACCCTACAAAGGGATCATGTCTGATCCAGCGTGTATTTTTACCAGATATTCCTGGATATGTATTCCAACTATGGTAGTAGCGCCAACTCATGAAACCTATCCTAGACTGTTTTAGATGGTGCCCAAAAATCCGAGGTCTGTAGGCAAAAATTCGATTTTAGACATCTGCACTAGAGTTTGAAGGAAAACTAAGGCGATATTCGGAATCAGCTCGTCGAGCTGCATCGAACCATTTATATACAATACTTTTTAAAACAACTTTTAATCCGTTTTCGAAGCAAATCCAGGCTCGAAACCCCGGCGTTTCGGATTTTGAAAACCCTACAAACGGGTAAAGTCCGATCGAGCTGAAATTTTAATAAAATACTCCTGAATATGTATCCTAACTATGATAGTAGCGTCAGCTCGTGAAATTTTGCCTAGGCTATTCTATAGAATTCCCCAAAACCCACGGCTTTCGGTAGGAAATCCGGTTTTAGACTTCCATGTTACGTTTGACGAAAAACTAAGGTGATATTCGGAATCAACTCGTCGAATTGCATCAGACTATATATGAAAAGACTTATTTTTGTGCAAGTCAATTTTTGATAGAATTTGGGGGAAAATGACTGATACAAGTTTTTGGCCGAAAAATCCAGTTTTAGGCATTCATAATACACTTTGAAAAATAACTAAGGTAATATTCGAAAACAGCGCATCAAACTACACTGAATGATATGTAACTCAACATATTTTTCAAAAAAATTGTTTTTCTTAAAAAACCTTTTACTTTTCTTAAAAACAATTTTCTGAGTGGTATACTGTCATTTCTAGTCAAGTGAAAGCCATCCCTAAGCAAAAAACCGCATGTCCGCCTGCTTATGTGAAAGCTCCCCCTGTGTGGCTGTAGCTCTGGCTCAGGTTCTGTCTCTGGCTCTGACTCTGACTCTGGCTCTGGCTGTGTGTGGGTGTGAGTGTGGAATGAGCGAAGATAAACACCCACACCCAATTTGTGAAAACTCATAACGTACGAGCAACGAGTGTCGATTTGGCCTTAGGTAAGAAGAATTTAAATTAAAGCCAAAGCGAGATTTCAAAGCGATTTTATCGTAATTCATAGGGGTAATTCAATTTTTATTGCGAGTGTAAGGTGAGTGGATGGAGTGGCATTTTTGAATAGAAGCCGCTCACCAACATCTATACTTCAAATGCGTGTTTTTTCAATGTAAGGTTATAATGACAATTGATTGATGCGTTCGAATTAAAGGTGACCGATCAATTCGTCGCACATGTATTGTATAGAATACATTGATTGAGTTAAGTAATTCAGTTTAAAATGTTATACAATTAATCGCCTTGACAAAAAATTTTCTTTGAACTTATAAGAATATTTTTTCAGAATACTATAGTTTTTCAAAGATAAAATAGAGATGTCAATTTAAAACCCTATTTTAAAATTTAATTAAAAAAATGGAAGTTTGATTTTAAATAAAATTCTATGTTGACAAGTTAAAAATAAAGTTCTTTTCTTTGTCATTAAAATTTATGTTTTCAATAAATAAAAAGCTTTAATTTTTTTTAATTTAGATTTGTAAAATTTTTTTTTCAATTTTATATTTTTGTTTTAATTTTCAGCTTCTTTTTAAATAAAATGTTAAATTTCAATTGCAAAAAATGAACTTTATTTTTAATTTGTTTACATAGAATTTTATCTAAAATCAAACTTCAATTTTTTTTTATTAAATTTTAAAATAGGCTTTAAATTGATATTTCCATTTTATTTTTGAAAAAACCATTGTATTCTGAAAAAAGATTCTTATTAGTCTAAAGAAAACTTTTTTTTAAGACGATTAATTGTATAACATTTTAAACTAAATTACTTAATTCAATCAATGTATTCTCTACAATGCATGTGCGACGAATTGTTTTGCGAAGAATTGTACTAGTGCCAAATTAAAAAAAGCTTATGACATTCATAATAACAATTATATCTGTCGAACTCTATAAATTGAAGCTCGTTAAAAGTAAAACAGAGGATATAAATTTTATTAAAATTGTTATTAGTAAATTTCTTAAAATTTAAACAACGAAAATTTGAGACTTAAGATTGTGTTCTATTTGAATAACTTCAATTGACAAAACAAACAAATACGAATTTACCAGTTTTTCCATTTCGAGTTTATGTTCATAAATGAGAAGCCACGAAATAAATAACTATAGAAATAAAGATAAAGAACGAAAGTCAGTCAAATTAACAGTTGTTCTTTAATCCAATTACTATGGATTTGTTTTAGAAGTATGGACTTTCCTTGTTGTTCTCTAAGCCACAACAACATCTTACTTTTAAGAATTAAAACTATGAAGAAAAAATATGATACCTAAGCATTGCTGCTGTCTGTTGGTCAAAACACTGGAAAAAATGTATAAATTTTTGTAATTGTATGCACAAAATAACAACACATTTATATTGTTGTTTCGTGTTTGTTTCTGTCGTGTAAATCAAATCGATGCAAAGCCGAAATATGAACTATTGTCGGTTTTTTTAAATGCCAACCATCATTTTTTAAATAATTCTTCCCCATTTATAGCTATATCGAGTTCGGGTTCTAACCATTCGATAGAGCAGCGCGGAGAACATCTATCTGGCTAAGACTCATTAGGACCAGAGAAACTTTT